TTCGTCTTAAGACCATACTGATGACGGGTAGTAGCTAACAGTAGAATCCTAGGTGCGCGTTCCGTCTTGTTTGCGACTCGTCAGCTGGATGTGCTCCCCTTCCAGTGCTTGATGTTGTTCCCACTAGGATTCGAACTCGGGACGATTCCCTCCAAATCCCATAGCGTTGTTCACTAGACCACGGGATTACGATAGCCACTTCGTGTGTGACCTATCAATTCGGTCCACTCAACGCTAGAATAATACAAGCGACAACATTCAGATCATGCCATTTGATTCTCCCGTATACGGTAGCTTGATGTAAACGTGCTTCTTCGGGACGGAATGCCGGTTAGTTGGCAAAGTGGAGAGGTTTTGCATGAGAATAATGAATAATTTATGGCTGAACTGTTTTGAGATATGAATATGCAATATTACTGGTATCATTATTATTATTATTTGTGCCTTGGGTTCCTAATGGAATATACAGCTTCAGTAGCACGTCTCCATTCCACTCTCTTCTCCTCTTCTAAATTGGTTCGCAAGACAAAGCTGTTACAAATTGACAGTATGACAAAACCACACGTATTCACAATTCTTTGATTTGCTGAGAACGTCCACAATATACATTACATATATTATTATTTGTCCCTTGAGTTCCTAATGGAAAATAGGGCTTCAGTAGCACGTCTCCATTCCACTCTCTTCTCTGAAACCTTTTCAACCTGGCTACACGACTGCACACAAGCTCTCATTTCCCCCTCGCACGTCTCCTCAATGTCACCCAACTCGTCGCTTCACATTGGGGGTTCCACTCGAGTACCTGGCCTGGGGCGCGATGTCCACAGTCGGCCTTCTCAGTGTATGCCCAATCCATCTCTCCTCCTTCCACTGCATATCTGCTGAGCGATGGGTTCTTGGTTAGTCAGTTGGCAGCCAGCCAGAGTTCCTCGTTGCTTATTCTGATTATTCTGGCCATCCGATCTTCAGTAACGAGCCAGCATAGGCACTCGTTGATCAATATCTGTAGTTTGTTGAAAATCCCTTTCGTGATGCGCCAAGTCTCTGAGCCATACAGAAGCACTGACTTCACTAACATTAGTGTTGGAAATCCGGATGTTGTTCCTGCTTTGTGCTGAGTGCAGAAGATCTCCACACTGATTGGTTTCAGGTTAATGAACGCCTGTCTTGCTGTCTTCCCAATCCTGGCTGGATTTGACGTCCTCGTCCGTGCCTCCTGTAGTTGAAACAGTCCTGACTAAATAGGTGAAAGAGGCAACTTCCTTCAAATTCCTCCCGTTGATGGTGATTGAAGCTTGTTGTTGCTGTTGTTGTTGTTGATTGCGTATCTTCATCACCTCTGTCTTCTCTACGTTCACTTGAAGTCCCGTTTTCGCCGTCTTCCCTCACCTCTCCTGTTAACTTGTTAGTTCCTGCCTGTAGATAATCGAGTTTGTGCACCATTAGAAATAAGTCATCGGGGAAACCTAAATCTTCTAGGCTCTTTTCCCCGATCCAACTAGCGTATAACCCTCTTCTCGCTCCTCACTGTTTGCTGCATGATCCAGTCAAGTCGACCACAATCAGCAAGATCATGGGTGATAGTGGACAGCCTTGTCTTACTCCTGTCTTCACTTCAAAGGTATCACTCAGCTTCCCATTGTGAAGTACTCACCTGGCATGTGTCATCTTCATATAGTTGTTGAGTGAGACTGATAAAGGTTTGTGGTATTCCGTAGTGCTGAAGCACCTGCCTACCAAATCACTTCTCGGTTGACGCTGTCGGAGGCCTTTTCAAAGTAGATGAAATTGAGGTAGAGTCGAGTTGACTGCCTTTCTTTACTCTGTTCTATGATTATGTGTGGCGTTGCAATTTGGTCTGCACATGATTTGTACTTCCTGAATACAGCCAGCCAGCTAGCCTGTTCCGGTAGTAGTTTTGAATGCAGGCATACTTTAGTCTCTCCAGGATGATGTGGCATAATATTTTGCTTGCTGTGGGTGTACAGGGGCATGATTCCGTGCCACTTCTTGCAAACACTTGGGTGACCCTTCTTCGGGAGTTTCACGAGGTAGCCCTTCTTCCACTCAGTTGGCAGGTACCTTTCCCTCCTTCCACACCTTCTGCTATAGTTGTGTGAGCAAGTCTCCTGTTGTGCCTGGATCTGTTCTCAGTGCTTCTGGTGGGATTCCATCTGGTCCTGCTGCTTTCCGCATTTCAGTAACCCTATGGCCTTCAGGACTTCGACTTTGGTCGGAGGGCGGACTTGTGTTCACTTGTAGTTCTGTGACTGGGCTGCAGGTGGTATTTCGAGACGAAGTGCAGGTGTGGTTGGTTCAAGAGCTTCTCGAAGTGGTCAGTCCATCTTTGGTAAATAAATTTCCTTCATCATCTGTTGGTTTCATCTGTGTTGATCCCTTCCCAGATAGTAATCTCGTTATTTTATATAATATTTTGAGGTCTCTCCTATCAGTAGCCTGTTCTGCTTCACTTGCCAGTGTGTCATACAAGTGTCTTTTGTCTTTGCGTGCACTCTTCTTCACTTCTTTGTACAGTGTTTCATACATTGTACTCAGTTCCACTTCTCGTTGTTCATCCTTGCACTGCACTGCACTGCACTAGTTCATCTTCTGCTCACCATCCTCCTCTCCCTACTCTATCGGCTTCCATGTGTCCATCGAGATCCATTCCACTCCTCATCTTCTTTCTTCTTCCTTCCTAATACGGTTATGCAGGCCTCTTTCCACATAGCTTTCAATGACTTACAGTGTTCATCCAAACAGGTTTATTCAGGGATGTTGCCCGATATCTCCCATTTTGTCCTGATGGCTGGCTGACGTGAAGATGTCCCTTGTAGTTTCGTCCATCACATTGTGTTCTGGGTGTTGAACTTGAATTGTGGTCTATCACCAACTTCCTTGAAGGCTTTCAACTTGATTTTGGAGTTGGGTTCCTTGCACTAGATAGTGAGTGGTATGAAACTACATCTGCTTCCCTTCTTCATCTGATCTTGTGTCCAGCAGGCTGACTGCATCTCCACTTTCTTCACACTGAGATGAAGTCGATCAGATTTTTAGTGTAGTGTGTCGTGTTGTCTAGTGAAATCCATGTGACTCGCTTTGTGGATATCCTTGTGCTTGAACACAGTGAGTGCCTCACTCCAATCACCAAATCGTTGAATGAATAGAATTCTGCAAACAGTTCTCCATTCTCATTCATCAATTCGCCGAGTGCTTCTCGACACATGATTAGTTTTCTTCCTGTGTTGTCCAATCCCAGTTTGGCATTCATGTCACTCATTGGAATTTTGATGTCGCCAACTGGAGTGTGGTCTTGTCCAGTGTTGATTGCAGTTGTCTGTAGAATTCCTCATCCTTCTCTTCATCTGCATTATTTGTAGGTGTGTAGTGTAGCATTGAATGATTGTGACCTTCCTTCCTTTTGACTTGAATCTTGCTGTCATGATCCTGATCCCGCAGGAAGAGATTGGTTCCCACTGCATGAGAGACAGCCTTCGATGCTGTTGAGAGGTGGACATCATGATAGCCACTCCATAACTCAGTGTGCTCGTGGTTGTCATCTGGGTGAGAATGTCGGAGTAGATTATTGATTCTCCAGTTGACAGTTTGGAGAGTCCACTCCCATTCCACCTGCTTTCTCAGATTCCTAGCACTTCAATGCTACATCTTCTCATCTCTCTTGCAATGTGGGCAGCCTTGCTAGGTTCAAGCATTACTGTGTGGACATTCCATGTCCCATGTTTGCTTTCACTTTCATAGAGAGAAGGGAGGATTTGTCTTCCAATCGGCTTGTTGAAGGCTTTCACCAACTGGCGTCATTTCGTCTCCCCGATTGGATTCCAGTGAGAAATAATTTTGTTTTTATTTTAATATTTTGTTTGTGTTTTGAAGTTTCTGTATTGGTTGGATTTGTTATACGGGGTAGGGGTGGGATTGCTAGCCCTATGCCAATCCTTCCCTCTTTACCCGGGCTTAGGACCAGCTAGTAACTGGTGAACTAGTGAACTAGGCAAGGTTAATTATTGGTATCAGTAAAGCCATCTGTTTTACCAATGTCAACTGTTCCAAGAAGAATACTGAATACGTCATCCAGAACAGTACCAAATGTAGTACAATTATAAAGTGAGTATCAAAGAAGATGATAACCAAAAGATTCATATAATGATCGGAAAACATTCTCACCTTCTAAAAAGCAGAAGAAGTGAAGTTAGTAAGTGTTTTGTGTTACAAATACTGAAGTTGAGAAACGTTTCTGAGTAAGTGAACTGACCGTATGTGCATTTCCAACCTATGTCCTTTGTATAAAAGGAAACAGAAAGAAAAGGGATTTCACTTTGAAAAAACCTTTGTGTTTGAAGCAAATATACTAATTTACTTTCAGCCTTGAGTCAACTGATCCCACGAAATATACATGTTATTGAACAGTAGAATTTTCAACGAATGAAGAGCATTAAAATGTCAGTGTCATCATCCATAACTATGGAAGGCAAAGTTTCCGTAAGCTGACCTGCTGTAATGCGCATTAAGATTGTGCAGAACCTTCAAAGAAGTTTAAAGTCCCTGAAATTTTTCACAGCTAATCAGAATACTCTAAAGTTTCTAGAAAACTACGGTAATTACGTATGTAAATATCAGATTGGTCAGAGAAAAAAAAACAGTTCAGAATACCCTTGTAGAAAGGTCTGAAAATAGCCAGTCATTCGAAATACAAACCAGTCGTTGTATTTTGTGCATATTTTGAAGTCTCAACACACCAGAACTGTTTCTGAGCCTGTGCTATTTTCCTAAGAATGTAGCAACAATGAAGAATGGAATTTTGAGGGGATTGTTCAGGTTATCTCATGACTTAAGTCTTGATTCGTGCCTACGAAACGTTGGCAGTATTAGTTATCTAAAAAAGAATTCCCTAAATACTACTGGTCATTTTTTACATAATGCCTTTAGATTCATTTCAGAAGAATTATTTTGTTCCTTATTAGCGTTTTGATTCTTTTGCTTAGGTGTCCCACCTCTGTGACACTGGAACTAGTCAACTATCGTCCAAACATTTTGACTACAAACAACGATATAAGTAATCTGTTGAACAGTAAGTTTAAAACAAATTCTGCATCACAACAGAAATATTCACCAATGAACTTAGAAACCATTTTTGTCCCTTCGTCAATATCAGTATCATCTACATCTCAATCCACAGATTCTAATCATCAGTTTCCTATACCATCAGATCCTGTTCGCTTGTGCGCTGGCGATTTTATGATTTATTCACCAGCTAGTAAAGGTTTCATGTCTGGAAGTATTCCACGTTTGGATATAATTCTTCGAATCAATCAATCTGTTGGTAATGTGAATAGCGATAGATTTGCCGAACAGAATTATGAAAGTCTTTCATTTCCAAATCTTGGATATGATGTACGGTACAGATTTGTAACTGGTAAGTAGTGGAACAATTTTGCCTAAAGTCGTTGATTCTTAATGATATGGGAAGATGAAACCACAAGTTGATGTATGATTGAAAGTGGTGATATCAAGGTTATCGTCCAGTGGCATCAACGACACCCAATAGGGTCTTCATTTTATTTGATTCAGAAAAGGCCTTTAATCCACCTACAACTACAAAACGTAATCTCCAAGTGACCATACATCGTAATCAAAACCAGCATATAAAACATCCCCTGTCATTATCTTCTTGTCCTAATTCAAACGGAATGGAATTATTAACAAAAAGGGCATATAAAATGGCTTAACAGACTATCTAAAATAACTTCTGTTAGGGAACTAATGTCAATTTACAGCGATAATCAAATTAGTCGAATCCAAAACAATGCAATGATAGTATTGTAACGAACTTTAGGTAGATTACCATCCTGCTATTCTATTGGTCAAGCTACGACAGCTAACAGATAACTGGGTCTCAGCTTCACTGAAAACAGAGTGTTTTGCTCGAATTTCGTGAGAATGAAAGATATCCATATTTACCTATCTCATCAAACTGAATACTTCACTAAGTCTTCTGCTGACGATCTCTAGGAATCTAACATTTAAACTGCTGACCGTTTATTAAAGTGTAGTAGAATTTATTCCCATATTAGATTTATTTATTTTTGATATGTAATATACAGTGATACAGTATTATTTACTTGATAACGTTTTGAGCATATATTATTCCTCATAATCATATCAATGCAATCACATTACTTTCGACATCTTATTGTTTATCAAATCAACACCTAACACATGTAATAGAAATGATGCAACACCTATGACAGACATGAAAACTTTTACTACAAATAAAAACTAATTATATGAGGTGACAGGACTACAAAAATCAGATATTGGAAGTAGTGTGATTTCATTCATATGACAATGAGCAATAATTTATGGTCGAAATGTCATCCAGCGAATAATACTGTTTCACTGGGTGTTATAAATCAAATAAATAGATTTAATATGGGTAAACTGTTTTACAATGAGATCAGTCACAACGCTAAAGCTGTTGTGAATGTATGTAATTCATTTTGATGTTGTTGTATTCTTTGGGCTAGATGGCTAAATCGTGAAGTTTTTATGTTCATTCTGGTCGATATCACCACCAGCACAAGCCTCAGAAAGAAATCAGCTATAAGGTTTGTTCCGCAATTTATTTAGTAGCTTGTCTTGATAGCCTTCTGTGTAATTGGTTGTTTCCGCCAAAGTCTTTCCACTGTATTCACATGTTAGTTGGTTGGAGGCAGTCGGCAAGAAGCCCTGGACGTAGGTTTCGTGCCTTTTGGCACTTGTCAGCAAGGCGTATCTGTAATGTCGACGGAACTGATGTCCCGCCTGATCGATAGAATTCGGTCTGCACCCAAGACTAGACAACATGAAATTGGTTGCACTCCCGTGACCAATCAACACTGTATTCACATTTATTTCGATGGGTCATCCTACCAACATACGCCTTGACCCTACTGTTGTTTCTTATTGGCTGATAGATTGAGTCAATGTCATTGTGTCTGTTGATCACTGACTGACCTGAATAGAGAGCTTGTGAAAATTCCGTGACATTCTTTATACTTCTTGTACCCAAGATATCCACACTTTCTCAATGAAATTCACATCCACAGTTGTCTGTGTGCATTCACATGAGCGAAGATGTGCTGTGATGCTTGACTGCTAGTTGATGTTTATGTAGACGGATACGAAGAGGACAGGCGACCACCCTGTCCAATGTAGTGTTTTCCATAGTTTTTGGAATTTATTTTCTAGACAATAATTGGTTTGTCTTCCTTGGTTGTGGCTTTTTTTGACCAGCATAACAGTGAAGAGTTTTACAAACTTTTGAGCTACTGTGATTCAAAAAGTCTTCAGTAATCTAGTTACAATCTTGCAGCCGTTCTTCGTGTAAGGCAAGACAACCCGTAATTTGTTACAAGTAAACACAGCAAAAGAATAACAAAAATTCGGGGACTGTGGTATTTCACTAGGTTTCGTCTCTAGTACCAAATGATTTCAAAAAAAACAGTTATTTCATAGCAAAACTGTTACGACAAGTAAAATTAGCTTTCATTCTGTCTATTAGTAAAAGTCTTTTACGTTACTGCGCAGAAACGACAGTAGTTTAGAATATGCGACACATTTTCTAACTGAAATGGTTTCACAGGAAAAGACAAGACGTGGTTGCAGCGAAGTAACATTTTTTGAAGAAGTCATTTACTAAGCCGTACATTCGGGATACTGCATTACAGTGAGCAGGATGTTCCAGAAGTATTTCCGGCTAGACAGCAAAATATCTTGAATGACTAAAGAAAGTTAATTGATGCACACTTGGGTTTAGAACGTGAGAATAGACAAGAGATTTCGAAAGTAGATGTAATTATGTAATACAAAGTGAATCTATGAAACAGTAGGAAAATAAATGAAGGGTTATGAGAATATACCTATGTTTACCTAATAAAGGATGAATCTATTATGTTAGAGGCTTTATGATGGCTGTGGCAAAGATAACGATTGGACGTATTACGCTGGTTTGAACTTCTAAATAGCGACTGCTTCAGCTATAGACAATTGCCTTGATGTTACTCCGTCCTAGTCGTTTAGTCAAACCATGAAGAGGATGTTGAATGTGCTCTCAAAAGAAGCTAAGTGGCCCGAGTTCACAAGGTGTTCTGTTATTGAACTGAAGAGACAAGTCACTCCCTTTTGCCAGCCAGGCTGGGTAGTGGAAAACGGTTCCGTGCTAAGATTCATAGATAAAAAACCAAATGAGCGAATACATTTGGATCCGAAAAATATTTTCCTGTTGAATCTTGAACTCAAGAATGATATTACTACAGACATTTTCAGGAAACCACTGTAAAAATTCTTAAGCAGAACATACTTCGCCACCAGCCTTCGAATTATTTTCTGCAACAAGAAACATTTTGGTCAACGTGTGGAAGACAAGCCAAGGCATTGGACCACATCAATTTGTGTATAACAGTCTATTTGCTCTTGTGGATCTGAGTATTTTGGCAGTACTATGCGTCTGCTTGTAAAAGGTGTCTGCAAACTCTGCTGAAAGTTTATGATGAATTGTAACTTAGTAAGTTGCCTGTAAATATAAAATTATTCCATGTGAAATACCATGGACGACAGTGAAAGGTTACTAATAGTTGTAATTTCCCTTAAGGGAGCTAACAGTGGAACCCAGCCAACACATTCCGTTCTGTTGGAACTCATCAGCTGGTTGTACTCATCATCTAGTAAGTGGTGCTTTTTGCACTGAGACTGGAACCCACAACCAATCGCTTCAAACATAGGAGCGTTATTAACTGGGCCACTGAGGTACGAGTGCCACCTGTTGTGCAATGGTTGTCACGTGTTGTTTGGTACTTGTAGTCTTCGGTTGTTATTCTAGGTCGGATTGATCTATCTTTGTTGGCATATAGGCTCCTATGTGGATGCCTCAATATTACCTCATTATTCCTTATGTTGTAACTTTCTTGGCGGCTATAGTGCTTCAGTGGCGTATTCGATAATGCTCCGGCATTTGAAATGACAGTTGGAACACCATCCAATCCGATTCAGAAAAAAAAGGGAAATTAAAAGCTTCAATAAATGTTGGTAACTGATAGCTACTCTGTTTTGTGTTCAACAAGTAATTTTCACCTATGAGGATAATCTAAGTTGTATATGCATAACAGAATTGTAAATGATACGAATATCAAGCCGTATGAGTTGACAGGGCGACATATTGCATCACATAATAACAAATTACATAGCATAAGTTAGAAACGTTGCCAGCAGCTGTGGCACATAGGTTGCATCTCGACGTAGATTGTTACCAGTCAAACATAAAACATGCCACCCATCCTCTGATTGGAAATCTCAAGTATCTTATTGATAAATAAGCAGTATCATGGGCATCTTTCTCATGATTTTTAAATAGTTGTTATTAACTTTGAAACGAAGAAAGATATTCACTCATGACGATATGTTTAAAACATACAATGCTCTCAGTTGTTGTATTTTAGCGCCTGATTTGATAGTCGGGTTCAAATGGTAAAGTTTACGTGTCATCGAGATCTTTAACTTGAAGGTTACTTCTTAGCTAACAAAAACTTTTATGCTTCATGTGACCATTATTCCTGTGACTGTCTCCTTACAGATTACGGTGTGACAACCTCTTTCGGAAATCAACGGAAACCTGGTGAGTTAAATATTATTTATCACAATAAAGCCTAATAAAATGTATGTGTATACGAAGATTAGTCCCCGTACCTGAATACTTTTTCCTTTATACTGCATTTATATTTGACTAGAAAAGAAATGAATGCGCAAACTGCTCTACCTTGCTTTCCCCATCACTGTTCACAAAGATTGATTCATACTTTGATGGTGCGTAACACAACAACAAATGACTGAGCTGGAACGTAGACTTTTAAGACTAAACTCATAAAACGAAGATATTTTTTGAGTATGATGGTGACATTTAATGGTTATGAAGCCTTCAGCCTAATGTTTGTGCTTGTTAGTTTGCTTCGGCAAGGTGTAACTGCAAGTAGGCGAAGACTAGCGCATCCATAGTGACCCGAACCTGTGTTGCTTAGTGGTAAAGTCAGAGAATTAGCCGTCAAGCTATTCAGGCCGCAACTGACCCCTTGTCAAAGTGGATTATGTACATGAGTTCGTCAATAGTGGGCAATACATGTAGCTGTTTATTCCTTAGTGCCTACTAATAATCGCAGCTTATTGAGCACTAAGCGAAGTGGTGCAGGAATGCAGTGCACTGTGATTTGGTGTAAGATGATATGAGGTAAATGAAAAGCATAGAACTATGCAATCAGTCTAATCGCAGAATCTTCCGTTTGTGAGTGACTGCTTCGCATGAAGTCTGAATTCACACCAGCGCCTTATTGAAATAGCCACACACAAAAGCAAAAAATTAAATTATATTACTGAATCAGAGATTTCATCATTAGGTGTATGTTCAGGTCTTCCACTGATCTGCCTCTTTACACACGTCATTCTTTATATTCTGTGTTGAAATCAGGACTCATGCAAAACTAATCAAAATTTTATTCAACACAGTGAATGTCACCTTCATAAAATTAGAGATTTCATAGGTCACATACGCTCACTTTGTTGTTTACTAATCTCAGTGTAAATGCACTAGTAGCATAAAAGTGTAAATCTAGAGGGAAAAGACTGGCCGCACAGATAAAAGATAATAGTGGTTCCGTGTTCTCTGAGCTTTGATATTTCTTTGTGGACGTTTCATCTTCAGGCTTGGTGACATCTTCAGTACTAACTTCATACTGAGGTGGCCATCAAACCTAGTGACTAATCGTATATGACAAAATACCGAAGCTCAGAGAACACCGAATGACCAATTACATTAGAGACTGTAAAACGATAATCTAACAGTTTCATGACCTGTTACGACGTCACCTCTATTCCTTGAATAAGAAATAATAAGATGTGTGTGAGTGATAAGCAACTGAAAAGTATGTTGAAGGAAATTGACTTTGTCTTCTTTGGACACAATGTGGCAGGAGGGGAATATTCGATACAGTTGAAAAGTTCTTTCAGCAACTTATATTTCTAGCTAATTCCACGGTCGAGATATTAGGTAATCATAATAATTCCAGATGGTCATTTTTACTCAGAGATTTAGAGGCTTGATCAGTGATTGGGCATTCAGATTACTCTTATCTAAATAATCAATAATCGAACTATCACAGGTGGGTATATAAATGTCCCATACTATTCAGGGAAATAAGCATTTATTGCTAAAAAAAAAAGGCACGATACCCCACAGAGATGATTTTTCTAATTAGGTCTAGGATATTACATCTTTCTTACTCACTTGAGTTTCATTTACATACAGAAAACAAATATTTAGAAGTGGTCAAAATATGGTTACAAGTAAGCATATGTAGCATTCCGCCATAGAATGTAAAAGCTTTCATACACTTAGTTCCCTTTTGAGAAGCGAGAACAACGAATATTGTGAGATGAATCGAATCCATCTCTTGTGCTATACATCTTTACACACACATTAAATTAAAAATTGTGTACGGTAAACTGTCAGTGTCCAGCAGTATAAATCATTTTATACATCTCAGTAGTAAGCAACATCAAATACATCCTTTTGATTTAAACATCAATACATATATATGAGAACATAAATGAATGATAAAGTTCACGATCTAAACAACAAATACAGGGAACAAGTCATAACAAGTCAGACTTTAAAACCGATCAGTAAACACAAAGTAGAGGATGACGTGACAGTACTGTTCAAGGCGGTAAGAATTCTGATGGAAGGAGGAGAACAACAAAAACAGTATACAAAGTATATGAGTTAACGGTAGACGAATAGAAAAGGATATACTAACAAACATGATAAAAATACAATAGGTTTAAGTAAGTCGAAAATGATGGGAATATGAATAATATTTGAGAATAATATGTAAGACAATAAGATAAAAGGATAAAATAGTAAACTAAGCTGTTGGGAAAGAACAACTCACCCAAGCAATGCAAGGTGAACTACAAATTCCTTTCGTACACAAAAGTCTGGTTTCAGTCAAAGGATTGCGGCTGCTTCTGCATAACATAGCAATTTACTATTTCTTTTCCTACTGATTGGAAGCTATGTTTGAGTCGACAGCATGGCCTCTATTAAGTAAGTGCTTGCTAATGGCGCTGGTTGGTAGCTTTCCACCTCTCAGTGACAGGCTTTCCGGTGTATGTTCAGAGATTGGGTTAGTAAGGACCATCTCTGTCTTTCCGACATACATGCTACTGCAAGTACAGCTGAATAAATAGGTACAGTTGGAGGTAACATAAAGAGGTCTCACATCTAAATTACTTTCTCTCATCATGTTCTTTGTGTCATAGACAACTGTTAATTTCGCAACTGGATAAGTCAGTGCAATGGATGCATTAACTTGGTGTTTATTTTGTGAAGTCAATTCATTACTTTTGAATAGTGGTCTGATGAACACGTTCTTTTTTAGCCCAGTTTTATCACGATGTTTATTGATGAACTTTATGAGATATTCATTATCTTATGATTTGATTATCTAAGACACCTGCAGTTTAACAGACCAGTATTTGTACTCAGCGATGATTGAAGGTGAGATGAAAATCTGGACTGTGGGCAGATTCGAACCAGTGACCACCGGGGTCGAATTCGGCTGCGGTCCAGATTTTTATCTCAACTTAAATCATCATCTAGTATAAATCTTCATTATCTAACAAAGTTTTTTGTATATTATGCAGTTCATTTTCGATGATCTCCTTGGAATGTAGTCTGGTAGTCCTTAAAAATAAAGTCTTGACTAGACATCTTTATAAGCGATTGGATAAAAACTATTAAATGGCAAATACTGACCATCCAGCGCTAGCTTATTGTATAAAATATTTGATTTAGTGTATATGTAGAAGATCTAGAGCAAAAGAAATGAATTCGATTCACACTCCACAATATTTCTTGCTCTTGCTTTTCAAAAAATGTTAAATGTATAGCCTTGCCTTTACACATAGGAACTTACTGGATGTTTACCTACTTTCTTATTACCCTTCCCTGTTTGCTTGTTTTTATCTCAACGCTAGAATATAACTGTTTTACCTTGTATATAATTTACTACCTTATTCTGCTGTGATTCTTGGGTTGAGGTGCTACTGGGTAATACGAAAACAGTTAGTTGGCAAATAGTTTGGTTTCTTGTTTTCATATAGATAAGCAGTGTGTTAGTTGGCGGTATGAAATATTGTTACCCGTATTGAGTTGTAAGTAAAGTATCCAGTTCAGTCATCCATTCCAGAGCATAGTTAACCGCTGACTCCATTTATGGTGACTATAAGTTTACCTCTTATCAAGTCACCTGCTGTCAAGTTTCTTCTTCTATGCTGCCTATGTGACTGACGCCGTTGTGACTGGTTCCAAGCTATGTCACCAAGTGTCTTCAACCTTTGGTATCATCTCGGGGACCCTGAACACTTCTCCATTCTAATCCTAACCCCAGCATATCTTGTTGAGAAAGGCGGTGGTTTGGTATGCTGTACCAATAATAAATGTATCTGGTACCTTCCGATATCTTTTATGCCGAGCTAAGCGTAAATTAAATGTCAATAAATGTATTTTCAAAATTGTTTTTAAATTGAAGTTCGTCTTTTTTTTCTTCTCATGTTACTATCATAGGTTGCTTCTTTGAGTTTAAGCAATCACAATCAACAAAAGGGAATTTTTCTTCACCAAACTATCCTGGATTATATCCTATCGATTTAATTTGTGAATATCGGTTTTTTGGTATAAATGTGAAGAGAATTGATATAACATTTTTAGAATTCGATGTGGAAAGTACTTCTAAGACGTGAGTTAATTTGAGTTGGTATTAATCTTAGTGCTTACCTGAATATTTTGAATAACTTTATAGATCACCTTAACAATTGCTGAGATAACCAATTACGTTTCTTTATTTCATGGAAAACTATCTTTCCAGAAGAAATACCGAACTCTGATTGGTTATTTCAGCAGTTGCAAAGGTGTCTTTTAATTTCACTTAAATGTTTTCACCTTCTAAATTTATGTCAGAGCTAAGATATCTGACCATGAATATCTCTATGACAGTCAGCCATACTCTGTGAAACCACAATGTGCTCGATTTCATTTAAGGTTATGCTGTACCTAATCTGTTACTCACGTCTATCTGCGTATTCATCTTTGTGCCCTGAACAACGTTTATTTGTGGTACAGTCCTACTACCCATCCATTCCTGTTCGACTGACACTCCCTCTTAATAATTTAAGCCTGCCTATATTACTAACTTGTGACCTTCATTGTGATTGGCTGCCTTCAGATTTGTGATCAATTTTGTGTGGACTAGTCGTGGTCATTTGGCTAGTATGTTCGTTTCTGGAGCAAGCGGCCAACTTTGACTGTGTATCAGTTGTAGATTGAGCAACTTTAAAGGCCACCCTAGCAACTGATGAACCAAACAATCACGTTTCTCTATTCTGCGAAAAATAGTCTTCCCAACCAAAATACCGCAGCTTGATTGCTTGTTTTGGCAGTTGTTAGTGTGGCCTTTAAAGTGGCTCTATAGAACTAAGCAGATCTTGACGGCTTTGTTCGTAACTGATTCGGCTATCCTCCCCATGGAAGTATCAAAGCTGAAGGCTGTAATTATTATCATTATCATTATTATTGTTATTATTATCATTATTATTACTATTATTATGATCCCTGTTTATGCTACTACTTAAATAATAAGCCTTAGTAATTTTGTTCTGGACTGTTAGGGTTTGCGCGTCACTTTGGCTGGGATCTAGGTATCACCGCTTCAGGCTTAACGTACTGCATCCTACACATTTGAAGTACCCATTTTCATAGATGAAGCCACAAATGAGGCTGACGAACATTCAACCAGGTCAAGCTAAAACATGCAACCAACACACTTGTAAAGAGTGTTAGCTTGTATGAAAAGTATAGATAAGTGTAAAGCTGCTCATTCAGGCCTCTGTGGCAAGATATGTCTGAAAAGAATTCACATTACATTCAGAGTGATTAAGCATTTTGGTACAAACACGAACAAGTTGCAAGCTAGAAGTAAAACTACAAACAACCGTAGTGGTATGGTTCAGGAGATAAGTGGTTTTCACTACGAAGCAAACATACTTTACCAATCAACTAGTGTACCGAGGACGATTTGACCTAGATTATACTGAGTTACTGTGATGCACAAGGTTTGAGCATGAGTGATCCGGGACACTCGAGATGTGACTGTGAAGATCGGTTTCTTTTTTCTTTCGCACTCTGCAGCAAATCTATGAATTCGACTATTATAGTGTCCTCTGTGATTGCTTAAATTCTCCAAAGAAATTCAAAATCCCTCGCAAGTAGTCAAAATACTCCAAAGTCTCGACAGAAAACATGTAATTACTGCTGTTGTTATAAGAGTGACTGAAGAGGAAGAGTTAATACAAATGACCCAGGAAACAAACAAGGTCATTGTATTTTGTACATATTTTGAAGTCACAACGCAACCTTCTATTGTTATCTTAGCTCATCTTCTACTTTTTGAGATGTCACGACTACCAAGGGTGAAATCTGAAGGCTATTCTTTTATTGTTTTACATCTATATATCAGGTTATACCAACCACAGAATCTATGCTATATCTGAGGTCCTAGAAACACGCACTGTATGAACAGTTTCATTAACAGCGACTCTAATTGTAATGCCAAAGTAATTTCTGTTGGAACTTCTATGGAATCAGTAGCTACATCGTTATTACAGACATTTCCTGCTGATGAGTGTGAGCAGGGACAAAGCTCTACTCCCAACTATCTTGGAAATACTTTCATATATATACAACACTTATTTGCTTTAACACACTGGCTAGCATCCTGTTATACTTGATTCAGACGCAGTGACTCATATCATCAAAAGGCTTGATGACCTGGATGGAACTACACTTTCGTACCATAAATGTCAGCATGTCAATCCGTCAATATTATTGATTTTAAGTGCTTGGTTGCACTCAACAGATTTTCTCAACATTTTTCTCTTGAATTGAAAACGGACTGGTCAGCAAAGACAACTTCTTTTGTAACTTCTCATTCTAGCTGCACATTTAAATACTTCTTTAAAGACTATCGTTATAATTCAAGAATCATCTGAATGAACAAAGATGATTCTTTTCATCTTCATGAAGTCCTATAGTTATGTGCACACATTGTGTAGTTTCTGATCAACAGTAGTGAGATTTCATCTAACAGTTTGCTGATAATATTAAACAGTTGAGATATTCTCTACAGAAAAGTTATATCTGAATGCTGGAATCAATTGTTTACTGGAACTAATTTCAAAATAATTCATGAATAATAGGAAGTGGTCTAAATGGAAATCAACATTCAAGTCATCAGCCACTAGGGTAGATATTACGGATTTCAATTTTCGATTCATGTCACTGTGTAGCCAGACAGAACTTTATTGGACAATTTATCCTACTGTTGACCAATCAGAATAAGCTATTCAAATTTTTACCTGGCGATTTTATATGATCATGGGGACTGCATATAAATGATGTATTTTTGACGAATGAAGTGTCTCGCTTACAGTCATAGGCCGGTTCTTGCCTCTTTTTTTGCAGCTCAGTGGAGTATTAGGTTCTGAGGGAGAAGAGTGTCTACTTCCATCCAATCCAAGTGTCTCCTCATGTTAACATTGTTCGAGTATTTTTTTTATTATTCACTGGGTCACTTGAATTATGTAAACGATTATAGAGCGCTAGTTTAACAAAACAATAGGAGAGTGTGCATGGAAGTAGGATGCAATAAACAAAGATAGATAATTTTAAGAATACCATCTTAATGAGATGCTACTTATATTTTTTGGAACCGAATGGGTTAAGAAAATGTGACAACATTTCAGACTATAGGGATGAGGGGATGTCTACAGCATGGAATTCAAAAAGGTTACAGGGATTTGTAAATCCCTAATGAGCCCAAAATATCTGTAGCGGTAACACTTGCTGTCTCTGAACATAGAACTCTTGCTTGATAATTCTGATGAAGTTTCACACTGCTGGTCTGAGCCGCGTAGAAAAGTGTAGACTGCTTGTCTGCGGCCAGACCACGAAAAATAAGAAATCAGTGGTTGAGGACTCTTGGTGACATGGTTGAAAACTGACATCTTCTAAAGCTTGAATATTCGCACCAACTGTTACCTACAAATTGTTTATTCTCTCACTGTTTTAACTATCCACCTGTTCCTTGTATACTACTGTGAAGTGTCTGTTTAATACTCATTCCCGCGCTTCTGAAGTCTGAATGATTCCGAGCCATATACCTTTTGGTAATTTGATGCGAACCCGGTAAATAATCGAAAACGACTTATTCATTTCTAAAATATGGTTCGTTTGAATTAAGTGGACTAATATGGAGCCTACAATGGTGCTCAGGCCACCTTCGTCTAACCATGCTTGGAAATCTTCACGAGGACAGAAAATTATACTTTATCAGCCGCTGAAGAAGAAGCTATTCTTTGTTAATTCAAATGGCTTTTGATCTATATTTTGGCTATATGAAAAGTGCCAACAAGGATCAACTCCAAATGTCAGCTAGAAAAGAAACGTACTGAACAGTGAACTGGAACATAAGAGTGAAATAATGCAAGAGATATTGGGTCAATCTTGTGTAGTATGAATACACAGACATGAAGTAATGAATTCATATCTCAGTGCTTGTTTTCATCAGAAGGAATATAGCACAAAAAGATATGAACGAATCAAATCATGATGTAAGAAAAGGAATGGAAGTAGATTACAGAAGAGATTATCGAGAAAAACGCCAGAAAAATCTGAAATGTCATGGTAAGAAAACGAGCTGAATTGACAAAACGCCTTACAATTAGCTCTTGAATATACCTACTAGGCGTACCAGCATTCAAAGTATTCAAATAGGTAAATTTCCCTAATGAACACACCGTTTAGACTGGAGGAATATTGGTGAATATAGAAGCAACCACCTTCTCTAGTTTGCTTAATTCGTGCACTATTTTCTTTCTTTTTTTTATTTAACAAGTTGTACAGACGATTCTATGGGTGATAGTGTGGAGATTAGCAGCTGTTATCCGGTTGAATTATTGACCACACCGAAACGTCGTCTGTGTCATAAACAAAGTCAATTGAACCCATATAAAATTCAATGGTACGAACCATGTTTAAATTTGAAGTTTTTCTCCAATGGAATGTATGTCCGAACAGGATTCTTCGGTGTCTATGAGTTCCATGACGCTGGTAAGTTGATGCATGATGCTTCCGAATTGATTCACTTATTCGTAAATGTTGAAATGTGCACATAGGAATCTGAGCAAGCAGATTAACTTATATCCTTAAAAAGTTGATTAAACTGCTTAAAGTCCATGTAAGGTAGATCCCTTGAATTCAAATTAACGTCGGCCCCATGATCCAAATCAAATGTGGCTACCAAGTCAAATATCTCATAGATAAGTATCTGTCTACTAAGTAAATTTCTTCAGTAAAGTCAATAGACTGATTAGCATTTTACCATGTGATTCCACATATTTATATTTTTATTTGTCCCTTGGGTTCCTAGTGGAACATATGGCTTCAGCAACACGAATCAAGTGCACTCTCTTCTCTGCAATCTTTTCAACCTGGCTCCACGACTGCCCACAAGCTCTCATTTCCCCCTCGAACGGTCTCCTCAATGTCACCCTCAGCTGAGACACCCAACTCGTCGCTCCCCATCTGGGTTCCACTGAAGTGCCTGGCACGTGATGTCTCCTAGTGGTCCTCTCAATACATGCCCAATCTATCTCCATTTCCTTCTGCATATCTGTTCCGCCTGTAGTTGAAACAGTGCTGACTAAATAGGTGAAAGAGAATACTTCCTTTTAGTTCCTTCCGTTGATGGTGATTGAGGCTTGTTGTTGCTGTTGCTGTTGCTTGAGTATCTTCATCACCTACGTTCACTTAAAGTCCCGTCTTCTGTCGCTGCCTCTTCAGTTAAATTGTTAGTTTTCGCCCGTAGATCTTCAAGTTTGTGCGACAAGATATTAGACACAAGTCATTGGCGAAATTCAAAGCTTCTAGGTTCCTTTCGCCGGTCCAACTAGCGTATACCACTCTTCTCACTCCTCACAGTTTGTTGCATGATGAAGTCCACTACAATCAGAAAAATGATGGCCTGACGCGTGATGTCCCCAGTCGGCCTTCTCAGTGATTGCCCAATCCATCTCTCCTTCCTTCCACTGCATATCTGCTGAGCGATGGGTTCTTGGTTAGTCAGTTGGCAGCCAGCCAGAGTTCCTTGTTGCTTATTCTGATTATTCTGGCCATCCGATCTTCAGTAACGAGCCAGCATAGGCACTCGTTGATCAATATCTGTAGTTTGTTGAAAATCCCTTTCGTGATGCGCCAAGTCTCTGAGCCATACAGAAGCACTGACTTCACTAACATTAGTGTTGGAAATCCGGATGTTGTTCCTGCTTTGTGCTGAGTGCAGAAGATCTCCACACTGATTGGTTTCAGGTTAATGAACGCCTGTCTTGCTGTCTTCCCAATCCTGGCTGGATTTGACGTCCTCGTCCGTGCCTCCTGTAGTTGAAACAGTCCTGACTAAATAGGTGAAAGAGGCTACTTCCTTCAAATTCCTCCCGTTGATGGTGATTGAAGCTTGTTGTTGCTGTTGTTGTTGTTGATTGCGTATCTTCATCACCTCTGTCTTCTCTACGTTCACTTGAAGTCCCGTTTTCGCCGTCTTCCCTCACCTCTCCTGTTAACTTGTTAGTTCCTGCCTGTAGATAATCGAGTTTGTGCACCATTAGAAATAAGTCATCGGGGAAACCTAAATCTTCTAGGCTCTTTTCCCCGATCCACTAGCGTATAACCCTCTTCTCGCTCCTCACTGTTTGCTGCATGATCCAGTCAAGTCGACCACAATCAGCAAGATCATGGGTGATAGTGGACAGCCTTGTCTTACTCCTGTCTTCACTTCAAAGGTATCACTCAGCTTCCCATTGTGAAGTACTCACCTGGCATGTGTCATCTTCATATAGTTGTTGAGTGAGACTGATAAAGGTTTGTGGTATTCCGTAGTGCTGAAGCACCTGCCTACCAAATCACTTCTCGGTTGACGCTGTCGGAGGCCTTTTCAGAGTCGATGAAATTGAGGTAGAGTCGAGTTGACTGCCTTTCTTTACTCTGTTCTATGATTATGTGTGGCGTTGCAATTTGGTCTGCACATGATTTGTACTTCCTGAATCCAGCCAGTCAGCCAGCCAGGTAGTAGTTTTGAATGCAGGCATACTTTAGTCTCTCCAGGATGATGCGGCATAATATTTTGCTTGCTGTGGGTGTACAGGGGCATGATTCCGTGCCACTTCTTGCAAACACTTGGGTGACCCTTCTTCGGGAGTTTCACGAGGTAGCCCTTCTTCCACTCAGTTGGCAGGTACCTTTCCCTCCTTCCACACCTTCTGCTATAGTTGTGTGAGCAAGTCTCCTGTTGTGCCTGGATCTGTTCTCAGTGCTTCTGGTGGGATTCCATCTGGTCCTGCTGCTTTCCGCATTTCAGTAACCCTATGGCCTTCAGGACTTCGACTTTGGTCGGAGGGCGGACTTGTGTTCACTTGTAGTTCTGTGACTGGGCTGCAGGTGGTATTTCGAGACGAAGTGCAGGTGGTGGTCGGTTCAAGAGCTTCTCGAAGTGGTCAGTCCATCTTTTCCTGTGTTTCTCCTCTTTGGTAAATAAATTTCCTTCATCATCTGTTGGTTTCATCTGTGTTGATCCCTTCCCAGATAGTAATCTCGTTATTTTATATAATATTTTGAGGTCTCTCCTATCAGTAGCCTGTTCTGCTTCACTTGCCACTGTGTCATACAAGTGTCTTTTGTCTTTGCGTGCACTCTTCTTCACTTCTTTGTACAGTGTTTCATACATTGTACTCAGTTCCACTTCTCGTTGTTCATCCCTCTACTGCACTGCACTAGTTCATCTTCTGCTCACCATCCTCCTCTCCCTCCTCTATCGGCTTCCATGTGTCCATCGAGATCCATTCCACTCCTCATCTTCTTTCTTCTTCCTTCCTAATACGGTTATGCAGGCCTCTTTCCACATAGCTTTCAAAGACTTACAGTGTTCATCCACACAGGTTTATTCACGGATGTTGCCAGTGTCTCCCATTTTGTCCTGATGGCTGGCTGACGTGAAGATGTCCCTTGTAGTTTCGTCCATCACATTGTGTTCTGGGTGTTGAACTTGAATTGTGGTCTATCACCAACTTCCTTGAAGGCTTTCAACTTGATTTTGGAGTTGGTTCCTTGCACTAGATAGTGAGTGGTATGAAACTACATCTGCTTCCCTTCTTCATCTGATCTTGTGTCCAGCAGGCTGACTGCATCTCCACTTTCTTCACACTGAGATGAAGTCGATCAGATTTTTAGTGTAGTGTGTCGTGTTGTCTAGTGAAATCCATGCCACTCGCTTTGTGGATATCCTTGTGCTTGAACACAGTGAGTGCCTCACTCCAATCACCAAGTCGTTGAATGAATAGAATTCTGCAAACAGTTCTCCATTCTCATTCATCAATTCGCCGAGTGCTTCTCGACACATGATTAGTTTTCTCACTGTGTTGTCCACTCCCAGTTTGGCATTCATGTCACTCATTGGAATTTTGATGTCGCCAACTGAGTGGTGTCTTTCCAGTGTTGATTGCAGTTGTCTGTAGAATTCCTCATCCTTCTCTTCATCTGCATTATTTGTAGGTGTATAGTGTAGCATTGAATGATTGTGACCTTCCTTCCTTCATTTTGACTTGAATCTTGCTGTCATGATCCTGATCCGCAGGAGGAGATTGGTTCCCACTGCATGAGAGAGAGCCTTCGATGCTGTTGAGAGGTGGACATCATGATAGCCACTCCATAACTCAGTGTGCTCGTGGTTGTCATCTGGGTGAGAATGTCGGAGTAGATTATTGATTCTCCAGTTGACAGTTTGGAGAGTCCACTCCCATTCCACCTGCTTTCTCAGATTCCTAGCACTTCAATGCTACATCTCATCTCTCTTGCAATGTGGGCAGCCTTGCTAGGTTCAAGCATTACTGTGTGGACATTCCATGTCCCCATGTTTGCTTTCACTTTCATAGAGAGAAGGGAAGATGTGTCTGCCAATCGGCTTGTTGAAGGCTTTCACCAACTGGCGTCATTTCGTCTCCCCGATTGGATTCCAGTGAGAATAATTTTGTTTTTATTTTAATATTTTGTTTGTGTTTTGAAGTTTCTGTATTGGTTGGATTTGTTATACGGGGTAGGGGTGGGATTGCTAGCCCTATGCCAATCCTTCCCTCTTTACCCGGGCTTAGGACCAGCTAGTAACTAGTGAACTAGTTAACCAGGCGAGGTTTGTAATTCCACTAAGGGGATAAAATTGCCACTTTGCCACAACACACACAAGGAAGGGTATGTGTAGCAGTGCTTCTTTTTCGAAGTTTTTGATACGAAACACTTGGAGATACACTAATTCTCGTAAGATACGCCTTAAATACTACAGTTTGTCACAGTTTTGCGTTAACCGGGATGGCAGTGACTGAGGTTTACGAACCTATGTGGTAAGAATATGCTGGAAAATAGTATTCTCACTTTCATCAAATCTTTAACAAACGGTATGATGAAGGTAACTCTTGTGGTCTTATCTCTTTGCGATTACGAATGGAGAAATAGAACCCAATCAAAAATATGACTGACAGTCGGAAGGCATGATGGTCTCTGCACTTCGCGAACCTTTGTCTTCAATATGAATAAACAAATAAATAAATAATGAATATCCAGGCAGTATCGAGACATACACATATGAGCTCATCTGCCAACAGAGATCGAGTGAATGACCCAGTGTAGGTAAGGAAAATTATAAGCATCAATCAACAACAACTGATATTCTTTGCACAATATATAGCTTCAGTGCCCCATTGGCCTAGTGGAAAACGCCTTGGCATTTGAAGCGATGCCTAAAAGGTTCCAGTCTCAGTAGGGAAAACATCACTCACTGGAGTGCAGGTACATTTGGCTGACAAGTACCAAACAGGAAGAAATGCGCTTCATAGATCCTACTGCTAGCCATCAAACGGACTACAATGGTAGACAAACTGTTATAAATTTGTCTTGGTTGCAGTCATTTTGAGCGCATGATTCCGTCGATTCTGTCCAAAACACTGACCTTCTATATGGTTTGTCTCTAATATATTTGCCCAGTTTACCCATACAACTAGTTATCCAGTTCGACCCTCCCATGCAACCTTGCCTAACAGAACATAAAGCCTCGTGCTTATTGCACGCTTGGATTAGGCTATCTGATTCGTCTGTATATGCACAATTGACTTACCTGACTGACTATATTGTGCTATAATTTATACAGAAGATGAAACAACCAGTTTCAAGCACAATGATGGATTTGACTTAGCATACAATTATTTATGAAAGAATGAGGGTTCGAAAGCTCTTGAACCAAGTGAGTTATACAGTAATGTTAGCAGTGTCGCGTTTCTGTTGAATGTCCCATAAGATGAAAATGCACAAATAGTTGCTCCTGGAATGAAGTACAGATCAATAAACAATAATGTCAAATCTCCTAGCTTTTCGGTGGTGTTTCAAAATTTTTATCGAAATCCTGTTCGGTACCTATGGTTAGATGAAATCTTACTCTTCAATGTCTACGCCAATCATGCAGTAATCCAACTATACTCTGGTCAGTTTAAAAATAATGGCTCTGGTTGGGAGCTAATTGATGCGAATGTGTCTCCAAGATGACACGAGCTTCCAAAAGTTATACGTTCCCTTTGCTAATAAACTTCAGCAGCGTACAGCTGTAACCCTGCCAGTCACTGTTGAATCCTGACCCAGTAGCTCAGTGACGATTCGCTCAGCACAAAGCTGTAAGTCCTGGGCTTGTTTTCTGGTGAGGTCATCAGTGCGCACTGCTGAAAAGTTCTACTCTAAGGAGATTTACAATGGTTCCCTAACTTATGTCGGTCTCTGATGACTACTAACTTGAAATCAATAAAATTTAGTTAACAGTCTCAAGTTACAGTTGCTGAAATCTTATTTCGTTTAGTATATACAAGAGAAGACGGTGAATTGCAAACATTTTGTGTGAAATAGACTGATGCTTATTCTAGACTAGTTTCCTTAGTTTTGAAAGTTTTATTCGCTATCTGTGGTGGCATATTTCCACAGAAGGAAGTTAGAATTTCATCCAGTAACACCCGTTTTGAAATCAAGCTAATAACAAATAAAAGACTGGTTGGTTATTAGGGATTCGATTGATCGTAAAGTAGTTCCGATGACATCATTATGAAAGGCAATGGAATCAAGGAGAACCAAACAGAAATCTCATCCTGGTATATTTCTTGACATTAGTGTTTACTCATGTCTGTATGCAACCAATAGCCAACGACCATCATTTCTCATGGTAAATTTATCACCACTCAGTCACTTGGTTCGGCTCATTTGTTACGACGTGTACTAACGATCGACTTATTTAATGTCTTTTTTGTTAGATCTGAAGGTTTTACATTCGATTCCTCATAGGGTCCTGAATGTATACTACTAGGATCCCTAGACCTTAAAAGAAACTAGAACTCACCAAATATCTTTGGAAAGGTGGCGATTACTGTTTATCTTCATTTGAATAAGCGTATTTATGCATAAAATGATATATCAGCAACGTAAATAGACAAACCAAACATCTTACCAAGATAATATTAAAACTGCTACATCATCTGTTGTCAAAAAGAAAGAAGTAATCTTTGAGAAACTACATATTTTTCAGTAAAACAGATTACTTATCTCACTTATGTTTCCCTATTACATCTTCATTTGCAGGTCAAATAGGAAGAAAAATCAATCGATTGTTGATAATATTTTTATGTTTCATTGTGAACAGTTTATCTCACCTGATCATGTGAGTTTACTATACAAGCATGCAAGTGTACACATAATATATACACTCATGGTGCAATTTTCTGGGGATTCATGAAGTGTAATATGTACATGATGAATATTTTTCAGATTTATTTCACAGTGAACTAGTGAACACTGGAGAACAGACAGTTAGAGAAGACTTCACCAACCACTGGACACTATCAACTGCATATGGGACAGTCTTCTTTAGAAATGAAGAAGTATATTGTGGTTCCTCGGTCTCAGAGACATTTATTCAATATTTTTTATTCTACCTATCTATATTTGTGTGTAAATATTTTAATAAATAGAAATTGGTGTATTGTACTCTTAGATATTTTAGTTTGTTTATTAGAAATGTCACATTGTGAAACAGTATCGCTTACTGGATAACGTTTTGGACAAAATTTATTCTTCATATTCATATCATCATTTATATTATATCCGAAATGTTATCCAATAAATGATACTGTTTCTTCACTGTGTGACATTTCTAACAAACAGAATAAAATGAAATGACAGTCTGCCACAATGCCCAATTTTAACTCCTATAATAATGTATTTTTGACCATTCCGTGTAAACTAATGTCCGTAAAAATACATACACGCATACACACATGCTTCCCATGATCAGATGTTTGTTATTACTCCATTCACCTTATCATTTCTGATAAAAGTGTATCTATTACGATTGCCTTGAATATGTAGTTGCGACAGGAGGTTGTGATGCCGACAAGGTATTCGGTTACGGTAACATGATTCCTTAACTAATAATAATAATGGCTTTATTCTGAAAGCTATTTTACGAATACTCTACAGAATTAATAGCATATCACATACAGTCAGTTGGACAGAGACAATGTACATGTATACATAGCTAAGGGAAATAAGTATAAATTATATAAAAAATATCAAAATATTCACTCTGTCTACAACTTTCTTGAAAACACTAAGCTAATTTAGGTAGACAATCACGTTAGTAATGAGATTCATAAAGTACATAAATAGTAACATGCACATTATCAATTAGTTTGTCTTCAAAAACACACGTTGATTAGTCACTTCATTCATAATACTGTCTTCATCACACAGCAGACTAGCTAAATAATGTAGTGTACAGTTTTTATACTTTGTAGTACGTGCATTAGGTCTTATGTACTTGCTCCTCGTCTTTCCAGATGACTGACACTCAGAGAGAGAGAGAGAGCTGAAAGTGAAGAGGATGCTGGTCATCTGATAAAATAACTCACACCAAATGTTTACATGAGTCGACATATTTGTCCACAAGTGTTTTAACTAGAATGTTTAGAGATACACCACTAAATCTGCTGACAGTCTAAAAAAAACTTCCAGTCAATACAACATAGTGTTTTTTCAGTAATCCGGGAAAAAATGAAGGGGAACAATTGAGGAGAACAGGTAAGATGCAGGAGTTGATGAAACACAAGATGACAGGCTGAGTTCTAACAGATACTCTTAGCTTCGTAATATAGAAAGTTATGAGGAAAATTCTTATGGAAATTAGTGATATATGGGAAGACCAGAAAAGGTCAGAAGAAGAACATACACCTAAATAAATCACGTTTGTAGCATTCTTTAATGTGCAACTGTCAATAGAACATGAATCATGAGAACTAAGCAGTTTATGTAGGTTATGTTCACGTCTAACATTTTGAATAATTAAGCATAAGATGATTGAAAGAGAGCCGTCGTCTAACAGTAGGTAGGAAATCATTAGTTGGAAACAATCTGTTGAAGTGGATATAGGTATGGAAACTGTTAGGTCATCAGTATATTTGATGAAATTGATGCTGGCTGTAGATGTTGAGTCATGTGGAAAGAAGGAGAAACGACAGGGGAAAGGGTAGCTACTTGGGGAACATCAGTCACAGTAAACAATGAGGTGGAGTGCTTCGCTTGATGAACAGTATATTGTTTCCTCTCCGAAAAATAGTAATACAGCTAGCTGATTACCCAGCAAAAGAGGTCCTGTGACAGAATCAAATGTTGAGGTATAGTCTGAAAGAGCACAAATGATATACTTGGCATTTCTATCAAGATAACAAGCAATATTATGAGATATATTAATTGTGGCATTCAGAATACTTCTGCTTTCATATGCAAATTGACTACGGCCTCCAAATATCTTCATTGTGGGTTCGAGCACAAGTATTATTAGCTTCTCCAGTATTTTTGAGAACGCAGAAGTAACTGCAATCGGAGGGAATTTCGGACGTGCGCCTAGAATCCTAGACTTAGATATGAGGACTATCTTAATATCTTCCTAAGCAGCTGGTATGATGTTTTCTAGAAACCATCCATTAAACCTGTTACCTAGTGGATGTGTAAAACAATTTGATACATTACATCAGAGGGAAAATTCAGTGACCCAGATATTTAAATAGACTACAGATAACTACTAAGGATAATAAAGAAAAGTAATGTAAATCAAATTCATGTGGTTGTTTGCTGGAATTCCTTAATTTGATGGTGGTCTGCATCACAGACTGACATCAGTTAAAAAACTACTGAAAACTTAAAAGCACTGGACAGCTTTGTTTTCCTAGCCTGAGACAATTAACAGCTATCCGTTATATGTCCGATGTAGGAATTCCAACAGAACATTCAGTCAGCTAAGTTTCTCCTCTTCAGGAGATACGTAATTCAAACGGGGTTACCTGTCAAATGCCTCTAACTAAATAAAGTGTTAAAATGCACCATGTTGGTAAATCTCCTAGCTTGGTGGCCCATCGCAAGTAATCATATCTCAAGACTAGAGATGAAATCGCTTACTGGCCAGTGACAAATGGAAGTAGACTTAGCACTGTAGGAAGCTATATCAGTTTACTACAAAAACTAAAATGGAAAAGTTGCCCACTTCTACTTGATATATCATTGAATGAAAAAGAATATATGTCATTAAGAATATTCGTGTTCAGAAGATTCACACAGATCCAACATTGCGAAATTTCTGCGACTTCTCTCCAAATATTTATTAAAGACAGCCCAACTTATATCTGCAGCATATTCAATGGAAGAAGAAAGCTAATTCACATAAACAGCATTAGCGAATGATACGGTATCCCCTGAAGTTAACTAATGATAAGAAAAAACGTTTCATGGTTGTGACTTGGGAGCTGCGTTATGCCGCGAAATATAGGTGAATTGAACAGTATGATTTCAAGGCTTAAATCTATATTAAAAGAACATGTTTTACAATCGAACTCACTATTCTACCAAAAATAAAACCCATGCTGCAGCATAAGAACCTCATCATTACACATAAAATTACGTGTGTGTTTGATTACATACATTGGCGGGAACAATCGGAATATGAACATCCTGATAACTAAAGTTGGTTAGTGTCTACTGATAAACACTTCAAACAAAAAAAAATCATAGAATTGATCTGAAAACTTCTTACATATTGTTGCATATTATTATTATTTATTATTTGTCCCTTGGGTTCCCAGTGGAACATAGAGCTTCAGTAGCACATCTCCATTCCACTCTCTTCTCTGCAGTCTTTTGAACATGGCCCCAAGACTGCCCACAAGCTCTCATTTCTTCCTCACACCATCTCCTTCATGTCACCCTCAGCTGGGACGCCCAACTCGTCACTTCCCATCGGGGTTCCACTCGAGCAAGTGGCCTGACGCGTGATGTCCCCAGTCGGCCTTCTCAGTGTATACCCAATCCATCTCCACTTCCTTCCAGTGCATATTTGTTGAGTGATAGGTTCACGGTTGGTTCGTTGCCAGAGTTTCTTGTTACTTATTCTTATTATTCTGGCCATCTGAGCTTCAGTAACGAGTCAGCCTAGGCACTCATTGATGAATGTCTGTAGCTTGTTGGAAACCTTTTTCGTGATGCGCCAAGTCTCTCAACCATATAAAAGCACTGACTTGACATTACTGTTGAAAATCTTAATCTTGTTCCACATGCTGAGTGCAGTGGAGTGGATCTGTACTCTGGTTTCAGGTTGATGAACGTCTGTCTTGCTTTTCCTATCATGGTTTTGACATATTCGTCTGTGCCGCCTATAGTTTAAACGATGCTGTCCTGCCTAGATAGGTGAAAGAGACTACTTCATTTAGGTTTCTCCCATTCACGGTTATTGGTGCTTGTTGTTGATGCTGTTGTTGGTTGAGTATCTTCATCACCTCTGTCTTCTCTACGTTCACCTGATGGGAGTCCCGTCTTCGCCGTCTTCCCTCACCTCTCCTGTTAACTTGTTAGTTCCTGCCTGTAGATAATCGAGTTTGTGCAGCAGTGAAATAAGTCATCGGGAAACCTAAATCTTCTAGGCTCTTTTCCCCGATCCAACTAGCGTATAACCCTCTTCTCGCTCCTCACTGTCTCCTGCATGATCCAGTCCAGTCGACCACAATCAGCAAGATCATGAGTGACAGTAGACAGCCTTGTCTTACTCCTGTCTTCACTTCAAAGGTATCACTCAGCTTCGCATTGTGAATTACTCACCTGGCATGTGTCATCTTCATATAGTTGTTGAGTGAGACTGATAAAGGTTTGTGGTATTCCGTAGTGTTGAAGCACCTGCCTGCCAAATTACTTGTCGGTTGACGCTGTCGGAGGCCTTTTCAGAGTCGATGAAATTGAGGTAGAGTCGAGTTGACTGCCTTTCTTTACTCTGTTCTATGATTATGTGTGGCGTTGCAATTTGGTCTGCATATGATTTGTACTTCCTGAATACAGCCAGCCAGCCTGTTCCGGTAGTAGTTTTGAATGCATGGCATTGTTTACTCTCTCCAGGATGATGCGGCATAATATTTTGCTTGCTCGGGGTGTACAGGGGCATGATTCCGTGCCACTTCTTGCAAACACTTATGTCGCTCCTCTTCCATTCCTTATCTTCTTTCCTCTTCCTTCCTAATACGGTGATGCAGGCCTCTTTCCACATAGCTTTCAAAGACTTCCAGTGTTCATCCACACAGGTTTCTTCAGGTATGTTGCTCGATATCTTTCATTTTGTCTGGATGGCTGATGTGAAGATTTCCTTTGTAGTTTCATGCTTCCTGTTTCTGGGTTTTGAGCTTAAACTGTGGTCTATCACCAACTTCTTTGAAGGCTTTCAGCTTGATTTTGATGGTTTCTTGCACTAGA